GTGATGGTAACTCTGAACATGGCATTAGTGGCATCAACACTGAAATGCCACATTAGGTTTTGGCATTGACTGATTGAAAGAAAGGCTGGGAAGGTACAAAAGAGCCTCAAATCATTGGATGGCAGGAGAAACTGCCACAAAGGAATCACTAAAGAGTTCAGTGAATTTAGTTTTTACAAAATAAAGAAGTAAGATTGGACAAAATTTCATTATGTCTTTGCTGTTATTATGAGGCATTTACCTTCTTGGAACCAGGACAGGGAAAAGTACCAATCTGCAGAGGGTTTTTTAACCTGATTAATCACACATGTAAACAAATGGCTTAAAATTGGGGTAAGTATGTAAATACTCTACAAACTATTTTCCAACAAATGACAAAATGGTGGGGAGAACTGTCAAAGGTAACCTTGCTCTCCTTTGATTTGATATCTTCAGATAAAGGCAGGAGAGAGAAGAGAGCTGAACATTGCTGACTCCCACAGGGAGTAACTGCTGAAGGACTGGTGGGGTTCCAGGGACCAGAGCAGCAGCGGTGACCAGGTGTGACACATTAGTGTGACACATTAGAGAACGGGGGCTGTGCTCAGCCCATCTCCCGCTGCTCCTGCCCTGCTCAGGCAGGGAGTCCTTCCCCTGCTCCAGCTCCCACGGGCCATGGTTGTGCATGGAGTTCTCCCACGGCACGGGAGACTCGTGCAGGAATTGCTGCAGCGTGAGCCCATCCCTCGGGCACAGCTCTGCACAGGCTGCTGCAGCGTGGCTCCCTCGGCCCGGGGTGCAGCCCCTGCAGGCCAGGCTGCTCCAAGGTGGGTCCCGCAGGGGTGACAAGTGGCAGCAGGAGAGCTGCTCCAGCCTGGACTGCTGCCTGGCCGGCTCCGCCGGGAGCTGCCCGGGGCCGTGGCACGGCAGGCAGCTCCACGGCGGGTCCTTTGTCCCGCGGGGGAAGCGGAGGCGGGATGGCCGGGCTGGCGTGGGCGGAGAGGCTGCGGGAGCATCCAGCGGAGTGGGAATGTCGGGAGAGAGAGGAGAGCGGGGAACATGGCAGCGGAGTGGGAATGCGGCAGGGACAGGAGAATGGGAATGTGCCCTCAGAGCCGGGCGGGGCGGGCGGAGCGCAGGCATGAGCAGGCGGGGCGGGAGGCGCAGCGGTCCGGCTGTGTGGCTCAGCGCCTCGGGGCATCGTTCGGGAACCTGGCAAGGACGAGGGTTCGGCTCCCCTTGCGGAAGCCAGGCGGGGAAGGCGCTCGCACCCGCCGGTTTCAGAGGTGGGTGACTCCCCCGTCCTGATTGGAGAGGAAAGGAAGCGGCGATCCAGGGGCTGTGACTCTGGGGCTTTGTTGGCTGCGACACCACGTATGGCCGAAGCTCAATAGAAACCCTCCAGTTGAGACGGTCACTTGGCCGACAATCCTCTGCGCATCTCAGCAACGCAAGACTGCAAAGGATCTCAGTGCTCTGTCCAAGCAGGAGCCTCGCCAATCAAACTCACTCGGCTCCTGCGCCCGGACGGGCACTTCCAAACCATGGGAGATCCAATCTCCCTTTTCCTTGCATTCATTCTTCTCTTTCACTCAACTACTCTTTTCTTTACACCCCCTCCCCACACTTCCCTCTTCTCCCTTTTCCTCCACTCACCACTCACACCTACTCTTCCTGCCCGCGCACTATGGGCAAATTAACAACGGCATGCCACTGCTCCCCAACACCTCTCCAGCTCCTTCTTTTCCACCACCACTCTCATTGCATGCTTACCACAATCACATCTTACCACCTTACACCTCTGACAACACAACAACTTCATCTTACTACTTACTTTAACAACTTTTTCACCAATCACACAAACCAAAACCACACTGACAGTCGTTCTACACAACCACTAGAAGCACACCTACCTTTGCTTAAAACAATGCTCACTTAGTTCAAATACAATACTTTAACATATCATGCACACAGCTCTCTTATTAACCTTACAGCTTTCTAATAGCTTGCTAACCATACTATTCTGTAGCTTAAGCATTTATTCTAGCCAGCCTTAATACACAGACCATTGTTCTATTTGTCCTAACTTTCTACTTCTTCCATAATTTTTCTGCTGACAATTCTTGTGACTACTGCTTAGCCCTAATTGCACTTCTGCTGTCTTGGAGGCCTGCCTTTTGCAAGCTGCCCAAAACCCTCTGATTTTAAGGATTCCCACCAACCTAGAAGCTCAGAATCGAGGAGGCGGGGAAAGGCAGGAGCTCAGGGATCACCACCCCGACAGAGGGAGGCAGAGCACGGGAGATTGTGTGGCTCAGAGAGATGGAACGCTGTGGAGGGAGATGAAGCGCGGGAGATTGTGTGGCTCAGAGAGATGGAACGCTGTGTTGCCAGTACCGAGGTGATGGGCTCGAACCCTGTGAGTTGCCAGCTCCTCAGCACGGCTGAATCCGAGCTGGGCTCCGAGCAGCCTGGTCCAGCAGCCGAAGGCACCGTCCCTTCCCGGGGGCGCCGCAAGCTCTGGCGTCGCTTGGGCCGTGCCATGCGCCGAGCAGCAGCAGCAGTGCTCGGAGTCTGTGTGGGTGCCATGGAAAACACTCGTGGCACGTCCACCACGGTCATTGCTGCCGATGTGATCGTGAACATCGCCTGCTGTGGGGGTAGCGCAACCTTTACCCAGTCTCACTGAACCCGAAGTGCCTCAACTGCGCAGCGCAGAAGAGCCAAGAGGGAACAACTTTCAAAGAATTTGATTCGGAACCATTTCCCACCAGTGCAAGACTGAATTGAAAAGATGTGACTGCTCTGTCTGACTGCAAGACAAGAAGCTCAAGTCACACAGCTCCTGCATTTGGATGGCCCATCTCTAATTCGAACTACACATCTCCCATTTTCTTAAAATTAATTCTTCTCTTTCACTAATCTACTCTTTTCTTTCCCTCCCCCCCACCTCCCTGTTCTCTCCTTTCCTCTTGTCCCCTTTTCTTCAGTGCAGATTCACACCTACCCCATGCCACAAACTCAGGGGCTCAGAATCAAACCATCTTTATTTTCCGCAACCTCATCTTTCTCCTGTTCAAACCTGTGTTCTTTCCACATTTTTTCCCTATAATAATAGATGACAAGAGCCATGAGACCTTTTGCTTTTTTATTTCCCCACTCTTATTTCCCTACATCATAAATACACCTACAAAAAAAAAACAAAAAAAACCCAAAAAAACCCAAAAAACCAGAACTGGGGCAGAGCATCAGAAGACAGCAAACATACACCACAAGCCATCCAAACCACCTTGCATTTTCAAATGCCAAAATGATCATCTGTCCACGACAAACTGTTGTTGTTGCTGTTTTGTTCCAACAAATAATTGCATGGTGGGCAGTTCGATGTTGCTCTCAGCTTGACTCTTTAGGAAGATTTCTCCTGAAATATTTTGCAAAAAACTCCTTGAACTCTGCCCAGAGCAGCTTAAATTAACAGCAAGTTGCAAATTGGTCAAGCTGGGGTACAGCTGTAGTGAAAATGCTGTCTAAAATATTTTGTCTTTTACAGATCTTTTTTTCCCCATCTGCCTCCTCCACACTCTGGCTGGACTTTTCCCACATGTTGTATCCCAGCACTGAAGTCCACAGTGCCCTTTGCATTTCCTGAGGCTGCAGCACTTCTACACATGAACGAGTTCTTGCAGAGCCTCCCGAGCTAGCAGTGCTGCACTAAAATGTGCTTCCAATAAGGGCAGGAGAGAGGGGAGAGCTGAACCCTGCTGACTCCCACAGGGAGTAACTGCATGGCTGAAGCACTGGTGGGATTCCAGGCACCAGAGTGGCAGCTGTGACAGGTGTGACATGTCAGTGACACGTGCCAGCCCTTCGGTGGCCAGATGTGCAGGAATTAGGAACAGCTCCTTGTGAAAGGGTTTCATGTCAGGACTGTGCACTGACCAAGGGCGTCAGACACCGACTGAATTCTGGCTGTGGCATCTGTGACGGTGCCAAGAATTTGCAGGATTCCAAGCTTGGCACTCTCCAGCCTTTTTTAGCTGTGCCAGGGACTGCAAGGAGCTCATCTCTCCAAACTGAGAGACTGTCACTCCAACAGCCATGACAAACCTGAGTGTGGTGCAGGGCCTGCACTTTGGCTCCCTCCTGGGCAATGACAGCTCTGCCTCCTTGGGAACCTCCCTGCTGAGCAGGCACCTTGTGCAGAGTGCATCACACTCAAAAATCCCAAATCTTCTGTGCTTCTGCTGCCAGCCATGTCCAAAAACACCTGAGGCGGACAGGCTGGCAAAAGGAGTCCTTTTCCTCCTGATGTGGGTGGGCAGAGTGCCCATGTGCCAGGCACAGCCACTGCTCCACCCAACCTGCAGCAGGTGGGGTCATTCAGAGTCCCCTGCCCTTTGCAGAAGAGCTGCATCCCCCGAGGTGAAACTGTGCGTTTCATGAAGCTGTTCCACTTCACAGAGGAAAAATGAGGAATGTGGTACTCACATCCTTCCCCCCGCTGGTGTTTAGCTGCATTTTCAAAGCAGAACAACCGTGAGGGGGAAAGACACAAAACTTTCCCCACAGAAAACTAAACAGCAGCGACTCAGGCCTTGTCGTGTCCCGTCAGGCATATTCCTGAAAGGCAGCATTGGCTGAATTGGAAATTCACCTTTTTCATCTCCAGGGTGAGTGCTCAGGGACAGGGTGCTGTGGGAGAGGTGCTGCTTGCAGCTTTCAGTGAGAAAAACCTGAGTTTGGGTCATGGCTGAGAATTCCCTTTGGAAGCAGCTTTCAGGTACTGAGTCCAAGTCAAATCCTTCAGGCATGACTCTTCCCCTGGCATTTCCTTCTGCCCAGCTTTTCCTGGTGATGTCTGTGTGTCCCCCTTTCCCAGGTGCTTGACTCCATCCCTTGGCACTGCAGAGGGAGGCTGAGCTAAAGGATTTCAGGAGATTGGTGCCGTAGCTTATTTCCATGTTGCACTTTAACTGAGACTGCGGCCTTTTCCTCAGACTGCAAGAATATTTTCCTCCCCTAATCTGCTCACAACAGGTTTGTTGAAGGTTTTCCCTTGGCTATCACTGCATGAGTGATCTCACTTGCTCCCCTGTGCCCAGACCCCGAGGCTACAGTCTGGGAATGTGCAGTGCAGGGAGGTATGGTGCCTGAAACCCAGCTGTGATTTCCAGTCTTTAGTCTGAGCAATGTATGCACATTTCTGCTTATAACCAGGGCAGTTATGATTTGAGGGGGACTGCCCTGGAGGAATGCAGAAAGATGTCCAAAAAAGCCTCTGTGCTGTGGGACTTTTCCCTAGAGCCCTTGTCTTCTTCCAGCATGTAGAAAAAGCTGCTGTTTCTTGCTGCATGATAAATGACGGAAAGTAAATGTGCTGCAAGCATGCTCTGTGTGCAAGAATTCAAAGCAGTGATTTCATAGAAATTATGCCCAATCTCTGACAAAGTAATTCTATTTGTTCAAGCAGGAAGCCTGACAGTGTGTTTTCTTGCTCTCTCCGAGCACATCTTGGGATCAGCTGGCAACTGAGGGCTACTTAAGATACAGACTAATGAACCACCAGCTCTTGCAGAGTTGAGATAAGCCCCTATGGTTTCTTCTTAACACTGCTGCCCTATTTAATTTGCTTGATTAAAGAAAAAAAAAAC